ATATTAAGGATGGACATGGAAGGGAATATACTAACTACAAAAACAAAGAAGGTAAAAATAACGGACTTCTACCTGCCAGTAAAAACAAGCCGCAGTAATTCATCTACCTTTGAGCATCCCATATACTGCAAAACTAACTATCCAGAACGTAAAATGACACTGAAGATGGCACAACGTCGACACAGGTTTGTCTCCAAAGCAAATTTGACAGAGGATGACGGAACTTCGTTCCAAAATATATCATACACCCACCCTGTCGGAAACAGCAATAACCAAAAAAGAAAGCATATTTACATTTAATGTGTGGGCTCATATTTTTTGTAAGTTTTGGACGTCATAGCGATCCAGTTCTCCACATACTTAATATTTGGAGTTTTCTAATAAAATAGAGAGTACAAACTAAATTTCATCGAAATCTGATGAAATTTGATGTTTCCGTCCACGAGAGTGGAGGGCGGGCAATTATTCCATTTTTATCAAATTTCATAATTCGCTATTCCTAAGTAAAATAAGAGCACATGTCAAGTTTCAGTGAAATCGGTGCAGGTTAACATTTATTTCCACCTGCCTGTTTCTGCTCTTGAGGTAAGTAAATGTTCCAAAGGCTGGTTTTCAATCGCTTTTTTATTAAAGATTCGCTTTCTTTCTTTCATTGATATTTGAAATATTTCTTAAGCGAATATCGTTTCAATGAAAATGTATTTATGTATCATTGTTTGAACAAGTTTTATTTATATTTAATTTAAAATAACCTACACCTAGTTATAGTTAGAAAAATGTCACGTTCAGACGCAAAATAAATATTTTCATTTTCAGAATTTTTGTTTATTTTAATTTTCGCTTATATAATCGACTGTGTAAGCAATAGCATCTAGGTTATGTATATGATCACAGAACTGTTTTCGTATTTAAGTTTTTGTTTAGTAAAATGTTACTTTTATTGATATTTTTTCTTCTCATATTTATTCGTCAATTTCCCGCATTCACAATAACTACACAGTTACTTAGTTGCCATAGATCTGAATCGTATAGTTTAGTCCATGATTACGTTCGGATTTGATGTGTAGAGTTACATTACGGTAACCGGGACCACCTTTGCGTAGCTGCGCATAACCGCCATCCTTACGCTTGTGATCGATGGCAACCACCTGGCTAATGGTGTAGGGATTGTAGGCATACTGTGGAGAAACATAAAATGTATGGTTAGATAATAATAGTATTTCTTTAGAAATCACTAAAAAGTAAGAACAGATAAAATGAATTGTAATTTCTTATTTCCGATTTTAAGTAAAACGACTAGTAACTGTATGTAAATTGTAAATATTCACCTTTGCTGGGTATTCCACATCCACAGAGAACTTGCGCATAAATTCGGATGCTCTCACCACCTGTGTGCTGAAGAGTAAGCGATCGTAGTAGCCGCGTTGTCCCCAAGTGCTGTTGGTGGCCATGCTGGTGGCAACCAGCGCTGCCACAACAGCGAATGAAACGAGTGCAATTGTAGTGCAGGTCTTCATTGTTGAAATTAATTTATTTTGTGTTTTACTACAGTTGTGAATAGTTCAACGGCTGGAATATTACTGTTTTTCCATGGCAAGACAGCGGCTTCTTTTATACATATCGAAATAAGTACCAACTTGTCTCTAGATATCGACACGCGTGTTCGAGCACAAGTGTGTTTATGATATTTGTTTTTCACACTCGTACATACTGAGCGACATTGTTTACTTATCCACTTGAAACATATTTAGTTAATTTTGATTAAAATTTTTTTTACAAATTTTTATAATTTTCTTAGATAACTTTCCACTTAAATGTTGCCAATTCGTTTTCACTTGTTATTTTCAAGTTAATTTTAAATTGTTAATTATCGTAAAAAGTCTGCGAATTTATGCGCCAACGTAGTTATCGGTAGGTAACTCTTTTATATGTAAGTATCACAGACAGAGTTGAATCATTTAGCCTTTTCAACATTGCTGCATCGCCGCTTATCTTATCACCTTTTGTTTTTTCAATGTTCTTTTAAGTGCAGGTGCTTACACAGTGTGCGAGTATTGGTAGGGGATTCTTCTGCAAAGCGTTTTTTAGTGAGCTTCAGTAACACTCTGTAAGTTATATATCTCTTTATGAAACTCGATATTGTCTTACTTAAGCCTAAAATTATGTGTTTCCGATGCTTACTTTATATGAAATGCTGTGAGTTGGTTTGTTTTTTTTTCTTGAATATGCACATTAAAACATACATTAGTATATTTGTATGTATGTACGTCCACACCTACTTAAAAATGTCGGAAGTTCTTTGACGAGGCAAGTGAAGTGTTTTTTTGATTAAAATCGACTATGACTTCTTCACTTAAAACTAAATTTATTAACTTAACAATTGTACAGCAATTTTTGAAATAATTCATACTGGGTCTGTTCGCCAGAACTCTTTCCACATTGATTACTGATCGTTTGGCACTGATTTTTCTGGTGAATGCAACTGATCGTGATACAAAAATTTGGTGATCATTATCAATAAAAATTTATCATAAAAATTGTATCTCCGAAACTTTAGTGATGACATTTGCATTTTGAGCAGTGACGAAAGAGTTCAGGTGAAAGCACCTATTAATAACAGAGTTTGAGCTTATTTCGGAGCCTCTTCCAAATTATAGTCTAACTAGTGAGCCTGCGTGGCTTTAAAACGCCAAAATTTAATTAAAAATTTTAAAACAGTGAGAACCCTTATCAAAAATCTCAAATATGTTGCAATGATAGTCAGAGTTATAAGCCAACTGGGTGCCAAATTTCGTGTAAATCCGTTCAGCCGTTTCTGAGTAAAGAGAATTCTAATAGCATATTGCGGAATATTTACAAACAAACAAAAAAAACTTACTTAGAACTCTTTCGTTTGAAACCCATATTTTAATAACTTGTGTATAAGTTAATTTAATTTGACGTTTTAAACAGGTGGCGACCTTCCAAGATATAGTTTATAAATGAAGGCCTTTTAAACCCATTCCGATTGGCACGCGTATTTTAAAAATTCATTTAACTTCTTACATGTATTGAATTTAAATTTCTCCCTTTCCTTCGTTTGACACGCCTATTTTAATATTTTATATAACTTGTGTATAATATCCATAATTTTATTCGCCTTTTCAAACAGGTGGCAACCCTCTTCAAAATATTTTCAAGCTACTACCTTCTTGAACCTCTTTCGTCTGGCACCTTTATGGTGATACACGTTTCAATTAATTAATTCCCTTAGTTGAAATTGAATTTGATTTTCGGAACAGGTGGCAACATTTTCAAATCCATTTCAATTGTTACTCATAATGTACTGATTGATTTACCTTTTTAAATTATTTGAATATAATTTTTTTAAAGGTAGCAACTTCGTTCGTAAAAGTAAAACATTTATGCACATTTACAGCCCAAGCTCTTTAATTTGACACCCCATTTTTGAAAATGGAATTAACAATGCAGATCTGATGGCATTGACTATTAATTAATTTGAATTTGATTTTGTAAGAGGTGGCAACTCCTTTCGAAAAAATAATCTAGAGGCTAACTCCTTTATTTTGATACCCCCTAGCCAAAAAATTCCTTCGCGTTTTATATATGTATGTATATAGATATTTGTATCCCCGATTAAAAGTCTTATGTTAGTATCCGCGAGTTGAAGGTAATCTCAAGATTAAGTATGTGAGTAAATTTTTAAATTATAGACTTGCCATAGCAGGGCTGTTGAGAAGGATATGCTGAGATGAGAAAACCTCGTCATTCTCCAAGCCACTGAGGCAATAAGTGCCCCCAAAATTATTAAATCCTATTGGACAGTGCTTAGCCAGCTAAAGATGCAGCCAGGAAGGCGTTGCAAATTTTCGTGTCGGAATTTTCACACAGCGCTCGTTGAGCCATTCAAGAACCCAAATATCAAGGCGCAGTCCACATAAATCCACGACGAATGCAATTTTTCGAAATATCTATCACAAAAATATTAATTAGTATTTAGCGAACCCAAAGATGCCTTCAACTAAATTAACGATTTGGATGAAAATCACAAGCTGTAATATTTAATAATAATTTAACTATGCCAACCAAACCCTGGAAATAGTTCCCAAATATTGCCACAATTCGGCAAATTAACTAAACTCTTTTCTCCCTGTAGTAATAATAAATTAATTTTTGCTTAATGCGTATGTATACAGACCAGCGATTTATCAATCTATTTTTGCGTCAATTGCCTACGGCTTTCAAAGCTTTGATTTTTTTATAAACAAAAAGAAAACAGACACCGCAAATGCATACAAAGGATAAATATTTTCTAAAATTGTACATCTTCATGATTTTGAAGTATCTAATCAGATATTCTGCAAATATTTCGTATTCAAAAACCACAAAATGTGTTAGCAAACTGCTAGTGTGTATACAAGAAGCTACAACAGATGTTCTACAATTCTCTTTACTTAATCCATTCATCCATTCATACAAATATTTTTGCAAATTTACTGCATTTGAAACACATTTGCAGATTCACTGCGGTGATTTGGGTGTCTAAAACCACAGCATTGTGTCTACATAGTAAATGCAGTACGAGTATGCAACTCTGCATTTTAGTGTGTTTTATGTATGTACTTGCTTGTAGCCTACACCTGCTGACAATTTATTAACTACCAAAAAACAAAGTTTTTTACATTTTCCACTTGTCATGCTTGTCTAATAAACACAAAATTACATTTATCAAATATCGTAGAGACAGTCACATCTGGAGAGTTGTACACACAAGGGACATTCCTAGGAGTGGGAAGGGTTGTGCAGGAATCAGACAAACTGCCTCTTTTTGCCTAATGCAAGCATCGTTCATTGCTGAATACACTGAGTTCACACAAGGCTGATTTGCTCGATGCAAGTTTGCGAACTCTCTATTGGTGTTGCTCGTCACGTTCACTCCAGCATACTATTTATGCTCGTTATTTAATTTATTATTTAACAATAACATTAGTACAATAAGATATCGCAATGATTTTTTTTTATACAACTGCATAACTAGGTGTGGAAGTAGTTGTGGTAGAGTACTGGAACTTGATATGGAGATACACTCATGGAGGAGGGATGCCACCTGTTGAAAAAATTAAATTCTATTTGAATTAAAGGTGTTTGTTAAGACTCGCGCTTGTAGCAAAATGGTTATTTATTAAAACATGA